TATGACTGTCATTTAAAAAGGAAGAAAAAGATCGTGGAACAAGCTTAAAGAAACTGGCGGTAAAAATTTATCTGGAACAAAAGTTTCATTTGTCATTTTATTGAGAGTTTTACAACGAAAGAAAGAGATCTGTCTCTCTCTCTCATTACTTTTTTAATATTTCGTTACGTATGTTGTATATTATGAAATATTGTATTGGAGGAAAAGATATTTTGAGATTGTAACAAAATTTAATTACAAATTTTTATGAAATCGATTTAATTTGCATTCCAATCTAGATATACATCAGAGTCCGAATTGTTTCGGGATGATAATTCAAAGGCTCATTAAAATTTTACCATATTATAGTTTCGCTGTTTACAAATTTTGAAGGAAAATTATAAATTTTACTTTAAAATTGCAATTTTCTTTTAATTACATTTTAATTATGATTAATTCATCCACAAAAGGAAAGTTTACGTTGCACTTACAATAGAAGTTTAATAATAATAATTCGTATAATACTTTTGTAATAATACAAAAATTGTCTTTTGTATCCACCCTTAAAAAAACCGTGTAAGAGGACGTTTATTAACGCTTTTCCGCGGTTCTATTAACGCTTTTTTTTTTGTTTTTTTTATTTATATATTTTATATAACTTCTCAAACATTGATAAGTCTTTTAATTGATAAATCTTATTTAAAAAATAAGTTTTTTCTATAAAATATTGCTTTACTTTCTTTTATTGATGAATAATAAAATGAAGACGAAAAATAGGCTAACTTTCAAGGATTAATTTTACCCTATCAATGTAAATTCGAGCAGCGAAAAAAAGTTTCTTACGTATTAGAGGACATCCTCTATGTATTGCCTAAGTTTCATAATTTTTTTATTTCCAAGTAGAGAATCTTTCGTTGTAAAAACAATATCACAGCATATTGCACATTTTATAAACTCGAATTATGCTGATGTTTGATAACACTTTTGTTGGTCTTCAACCATAATAATGTGAATGATAGTCGACACATTCGTTTCGTATTTCGCGCATATTTCACATTCAAATGAAAATATCGCATGTGAATAAATATTAAAAGATATCATTATTATCTTATCATGATTATTTTAAAATTTAATGAAAATGTTACTGGATAATTTGCAATTTACAACTTTAATTAACCGTATCTCTCGATAAACTGCAATTAATTACATCATTAGTTAAATCCAATATAAATAAATTAAATAATATTTTTTCTGCTTACTAATTCTTTTAATAATTAAAAATAATATATTGTTTATAAAAAACAATATTTTTCAATTCATTTTTCTCACTTATTAATTAGAATACTTATAGAGAAATACATTACGCTATGTGTACGCGTATCAATGTATATAGAAATAAGAATCATACATATTTACAATCGATAATAAATATATTTTTAATATATATATAAATGAATAAAAATTACTTAATTTTAATCTAACGAAGAAATTAAACTATATTTTCAATAACACATATTTTCAATAATAACTAATTTGCTTGTAATAGAATGTGCAACAAACAAATTTAGAAATTCAACTACATTGGCAAAAGTTTCATTTTTTGTATTCTATTGCTTCAAATTTTATGTGAATTTATTCACTTTAACTTTTATTGTTTAATTATGAAAAAAATTACATAATTTTAATTAAATTTATATATACGTTTTTTCAATTTTTACTTATAGGAAAACTTTGTTTTTTATTTCTTTAATGAAAATTATATGATTATAATTTAAAATTAAAATTATCTTTGGGGTAATACATTATTGTAACTACCTGTGTATTGAAAATGCCGATGTATTGTTGAACAGTTTTTGCAATCAACATATTCGACAGTAATTAGTCGTCAATCGACAGTTGTTTACGAATCACGTAATATTGGATTGTGTCCGGAAAGTCAGAAGTGTCGAACATCAAACGACTGTTACAACGCTAAATTAACGTATGTGATTGTGATTTTCGATACTCGTAATCTGTGTTTACTCCAGTATTACTATTTAATTATTCCAAGTGTCCCCTGATGTGTAGTTTTCATCAGAAATAATTATCGCGCCATTAACGAATATCAGAAACGTTGAATCTCACAATCAGTCGAGCGAATAACTTTGCAATTATCGTTTTATTAACGAACTATTATCTATTAGAAATGCCGAATAAAGTTCCGCGCACTCGACAAATTTCACGCCACATTTATATGATTGAAAAAGTACGCGTATAAATAAAATATCGCTGTACACTAACTTTAAAAAATGCCGGGAATGCTGAATCGAGATAAGCGTTAATTGACGTGATCGCAACTAATTGTTTCCTCGTACTAACAGTATTCTCGTGAAAACCATCTTTTTCAATAAATACTAATTAAGCAATAACAAGGCAATGAAGCCCGTATAGCTGATAAATGCATTTATTTTATGTATGCCCGAATAATACAAGTTTGCTTGATATTTGATATTGCTGCGCTTTATCATTTTCAAAGAAAATAAGAAAATACGTCAATATGATAAAACAATAGAGGATTTGGTACATTAAATTAAACCATGCAAACATATAATTAATAAGGAATTATATAAATGGTAAATTTATGCCAATCTGCTTTAATTTCACATTTTATAAATTTAATATTGTATTTGATTGTAGTATTGATTTAATAATTATATGTATATTTATTTTCTTAATGCGTTAATAACTTTTATGTATAATACTAGCTGGTTACCCGGGGTTCGCCCCGGAGGAGATATGTAATAAGACACGCAAATAGATGATAGCGCATATTTATATTTAACGCCAATAGATTTCCGCATCATCCTTTTCTTTCTCTCTCTCTCTCTCTCTCTCTCTCTCTCTGCATTTCACGCTGCACAAGCTATTAAACTTGTATCCACACTGATCAGGCCCTTGTAATACTTTATAGCACTCCCCAGAAAATTCTACCCCTACTTCATATAGAATTCTTTGAAATTCGGTCAATTATTTCCGGAAAAATTGGAAAAATTTCGGAACCGGTTTCCAAAATACAATTCATTAAGATTCGATCAATTATTTCCCGAAAACTTGGAAAAATTTCTGTTTCCACCTGTTTCCAAAAAATCGGTAACCAAAAATTATACACTTTATAGCAAAATTCCCCGGAAAATTCTACCCCTGTTTCATATACAATTCATTAAGATTCGGTCAATTATTTCCTGAAAAATTAGAAAAACCGGTTTCCAGAAAATAGATAACGAAAAACTATACACTCTATAGCACTCCCCGGAAAATTCTACCCCTATTTTATACGGTTTTATTACAAATTCGGTCTAATAGTTTTTAAGTTAAAAACGGCCAAACATACACCACCCGTAAGAATTTTATATAATAGTATAGATTTAAACAACATAAATCTTAATTTAAATTATTAAGATTAATGTTAATAAAAAATTGATTTTGTATTTGTTTGAGTAAAGAAAGTGCATAATATATAAAAATGACACATGGTATAAGATACCTACTTAAAATAATGTTCTCTTTTAAGAAAATATTTGTTTAAATATAATATGTGGCATTAGATTGCGTTTAGCTATAACACATAACAGCGTAATAAGACGATAAAACATTAACTGGTGAGTCAATTTATTCATTATACATGCATAATTGAATTTATTAACAGTAACAGTAATAGTTGCGAAGATTTGATTATTATCATCTTATAAATTATAGTTTTCCGGTAAACATCATTCAAGGTTGATTGTTCTTTTCTTTTCGATATCTACGTATGAAAAGAAACAGAAAATCTATCATGTTTATTGTTTATAAAATAGCTCTGTGATACGCCTCGTTATTGCTGGGATAAACTTTTACAAATTTTTTTTGGTTATGTATGATGATAACGCAGATGATAACGCTGAAAACGCGCGCAATTACTCTACTTCATATTGACGTTTCATCGCATTACTATCTACAACGTTCTTAGTGTTCTTAAGAAAGTCAGATAATTAGACAAACATATATATTTACATAAAATTACAAAACATATATATTTAACAAGGAAAAGATGCAAAAAGACGTGCGAAAATTTTACCTGTTCTCTCACTCGGATCTGCCCAGTGTACCACGTCAGCAACATCATCTTCAACACGAGCACGCACGACCACCAAGCGTATATAGACCACCATAGCTCGTCTTTCGTCTCGTTTGCAGTCGCGTTCGCTAGCATTGTCCCTGGCGCGACCTTATCTGCTTAACGTTCTCTCGGCGTTCACGGCGAAAGCCGACGCGTTACTGGCTATGTATCTACTGAATCTACTCTTGTCTCTTGTCTGAACTGGTGAGGGCTATTAGCAAGTCAAATGCATGAAACGGTGAGGGGTAATCTGATGCGCGAGGTAGTCGAGCGGGAAGGTTTAAACATGAGCATTTACATCGCGAGACCCGTGACTTTAAATTAAAGTAATACATGGATTGATTGTCAAATATGTGATTTGCTATTAGCTGCAACGTTATATCGACAAAAATAGATAGATATATAGCCTTATTTAATAAAAACATAGATAAGTCTGAAAAAGCCATAATCTTGAAAAAGCCATATGGTCTTGAGGAGAATTTTTTTAATCTAAGATTTTCAACAATTTTTATATCAAAAGACAACGAAGATACTTAGATCACGAAAAATGATAGGAAAGACACCTAAGAAAAATTATGGTTTCCACGAAAGAAACTTTTGTATCTTAACTGAATAGCATAATCATGCATTGCGGTAATTTTATTTGTATTTCTATGGAATGGAGAATTTTCTCGCGAATTTAAAACCTCACATATTTACTTATATTTGAATAAATGTAAATAGGAATGTTGAAATATTTATTACATTTATTATTGTACGATACTATAGTATTTCTAAAACCTTTAACATTTGTTGTTACAATCTGTCACTAAAAATTTGCAAACTGAAATTGTTTAATAGATTGTATTATTATTGTTTACACAAAGTTTTATTGCAATTGCAACAATATTGTACAATAAATAGATGAGTTAGTTTCTTACATTTTTTTTGTGAAATTCATACAACTGAATAATCTCACGCGTAAATATCAATTCATATTAATATACACTATTCCGGCTTTATTAAGATTCATGAAAGTTCGATTGTGAAGTTATTGTTTCACTTTGCCATAATATTCTTTTGCCATTTTCAAAACAAGGAACAAATCATCAAGGGAATTATTATCAAGGGAATTCTCTTATATACGAACTATAAACGCCATTGCGCGATATTACTTTTCTTTATGTTCGACATTCTCGATACCCAGATCAGATCATTTCCGAGAAAAAAATCTGTGGCGACGATATTCGTTTCCTTCCACCACTCCTCTTGGAACTTGACAGTGAGATTTCGATTAACGGAATCGGCCATCTGCCGAAGTCCGCCAGACGGATTGAAAAAAAAGTCTAATGGGAACGGCGTCAATTCCGCCATTACTGCCCATAATGGATTCTGGCTATTCCTACGTTTCTTTGATCCCAAAATTTCTTCGTCCAAATACTCGAACAAACCTTCCACGGTTTGCTGATTGCCCCATACCTGCGTCAAAGGCGGCCACAACCAATCGTATTCTGAATTTAAAGGAATTTAACGGAAATTATTATAAACGATTACTAGCTAGAAGGTTTTAAAGAATTTTAACGAATTAAACTTGCAAATTGTAAGATGATGAATAAATTTGTAGATATTGACAAATTAAAAAAAATTGCCAAACAAGAAAGATGTTTTACCGTTTACTGTGTGCTTGTCACCATAACAAATAATTAATCTTTTGCCGCCGGTCCAAATATCATTTAATGTCGGCCCTAAACCTTCGATTCCTCTGTCCGGCTTCAGGATTAAGTTTTCGAATTCTCGATGTAAAATAGTTAGCAACTTCCTATGCCTATTTGGCCTACCTTCGAAGCCCACAGGAAATCTGTTTATTATAATTCTTACGTTAATTTATTATTACAGAACTTGAATATATTTTGGAGTATACTTATTAATAACTTTTTTGTGACAAATAACGCTTAATATGGGAACACATATTCAAACATATAAGAGAAATGTTTTTTACTTTTTAATGCATTAATGAATGTTAAAAGTTAATTAAAATTAATTGAGTGAGTTAGTAATTAATTATGTTATATATTTTGCAATTCTCTCGTAATGTAATTTTTTTACGTTTTTCCGATTTTTACGGCCATTAACACGAATTTAATTTTCAATAAACGCGTGAATTTGAAATGTACAACGCTATATTGGATATAGCGCGACTCACCTGTGAAAGTCCATAATGACAACTTCACCCCTCGCTACATCCAAAAAGTCTCTTACATCCTTTAAGATCTCCGAAAGAGGTGTAATGCGAATGACGTCGTGGTTTACCCAGAATCTATTGATATGATTCCCGTCCTCGTCAAGTGCGGTGCCATTCGGTATCGATGGATAATATCCAACTCTGATATCCAGATATCTTATACCGTGCACTAGCTGTGTCCAAACGTCACGATCTTGTGTCAGCAAATACCGCTGAAAAGCATCCCGGCGCGTCAGATCACCGTGCTTGTAACAGCCAGAATTGTGTGTCCCAGGTATCATCAAGCTGCCGATAGGAAGCATGCCAATTTCCCTCCTTTAACAATACAAAGAAACATTGTGTATTGACAGCAGTCAATTGCTATAAAAAATTGCTTATGAATATTCCTGGTCCGTCAGATTTGTAATAGTAAAAAATAATTGCAAACAATACGTTTATGTTACACGTGTAATATGTATCACAGATCTTTCGCAATTTTTTGAATCTTCATAAGTATCGTCTGACATTTCTGCCGCTTGATTTATTCTTTTTGTAACATACTTATATGAACGTTTTAAAATGTTTTGGAGTTAAAAGGGTAAATTATTTTCGAATTAAAAGTGATACTTTAATTCGGAGTTTTAAAGACGTGTAAAAAAATTATAGTACCTCAAATCGTACATCCAAGTTGGCCAAATTTGCAGACAAGACATGGAAAACATGTGACCATCTTTGTAAAGGATTGCATAATAATCGAGACAGTGCGATCCCGGAAGAGTCGCCCCATCTTTCGTGTCCCACCCTCCTGGAAGCGGCGGACGACCCACCGTAATATTCGTCCTGTAATATCCCCGAGGACGTTGTAAGGAAGTCAAGATCAGTTCAGGCTTGATCATTTTGTCTGGAACAAATGGGAGCCGTGGTTGCGCCGACAAATTTTTCGGTATTCAAAGTTCGATAGCTTTACGGTGAGAAAATGTGATGAGGGATGGATGCGTTCGATTTCACGACGATTCATTCTGTAAGATAAATCGGATTGGAAACGATTCAAAACTATCGGGGGGATTCATTTCGAATGGATCAATGTTTTCAAATTGAATGCGATAGGCGGAAGAGAGAGACTTAGCGAACAAGTTTTAACGGAGGGGGGGACTCGAAGCGTTTCAATGCGCATAAGCTGGTGATCTGTACTAAGCAATCAATGAAACACGAACGCAAAATAAACTTTTAAACTTTGTTGATGGAATTTCTACATGAGAATAAATATATTGAAGACTTTGAAGTAAAACAAATTTAACTGCAGTTATTACAAATTACTGTCATGCCATATAATGTCTTGTGTTTTGTAATAAATCATAACGATAAATATTGTAATCTTGATATATGACAATACAATAATTAATATGTAAATAAAATAGAAGATACACGTTAATTTTTCGAGTCTAACTGCTATCTCTGGCAGCGGAATACGGTACACACAAGAGAATCAAACAAAATTTATTACTATGTGCTGCTAACGGGTCAGCAGTGAACACCTTGATCTGGGTATCTGAATATCTTGTGCCCGCCGGACAATCGAATTCCCAATTTACTTCTAATTCGGCATCGACCACCTTATCGCTCGCGGCGATTGGTCTCCACAAAGAGGAAACCGTGACCCACACTTTTCCGCACTGCCCCGCCAATGCTGAAAGCAAAAACAGGAAGATTAATTGAGAAATAGAATACAATAATTAATAGAAAAAGAAACAAATTTATCTCTTAAATCTTCATCCCAGAAAAATTAGTTATTCGCGCTTTTCAAATTACACATAGAAAGAACGGTTTTGCTGAAGTATTTAAAAATTTAGCTAGTTTCAAATCTGAAAATAATTTTACCATAGTTAATAATTATATAGAGCGTTCAAGCAAGACGATAATTCTGCAAAAAATTTTGACATTCTAGCAATCAGCTTGAGCTTCTGCGTAATTATTTTTAAATTCTAACAAAATTATTTTCAGATCTGTATCTATATCTCTAATCTAGATAAATTTTTACATCAGCAAAACCGTTTTTTACGTTTGCAAGTTTATTTTGATTTTACCAGAACATTATGATTTATACTAATTGCAAGTATATATCGCTTTTAGTAAAAAAGAAAAAAAATACATACAAATATGCAGAAATGCAAAATTATGTAAATATCAGCAATATTTATCTTCATATTTTTTTACACTTTTTGTATTTGAACGAAATGTTTGAACGAAAATTAGTGTATTAACTGCCCCAGTACTGTAAAAAAACATTTGCTTTTTATTCGTATATTTACATAACGTAACGATTTACTTTCGATAATATTCAGTTTTTTTTTTCAGATTATTTAAAAATATTTTCTTTAAACATGTTATTTTACATTTCCAGCAATATAATATAAATTGTGCTAAAAAAACCTTGCGTAACCTAAACGCAATAGTTTAAATTCTCACCAACATCGCAGAAGACATGGAGAATCAGCACAATAATTCCCTTCAGCATGATTGAAACGATGAGATTTCGTTCAAAATTATTTATCTACAGTCTCCAATCTTCCGATGTCAGCAAATATTGTGCAATCGTATTTCAGTCAAACAGTTTCTGATTTCTTCGAGCATAACGGATACAAAAGTCTTCAGGTTGTCTGAAATTCACAACTTGTTCACGCAACAATGTTGCCTTCATTAAATAATGACAAATATATATAAATCTTCACTTTTATAGAGTCAAGAATATTTTCTACATAAACGTTGCATCAAGGATTGTAAAGAAAACAATAAAAGATACAGAAATGTTGAAAAAACTTTCGTAGGAAAATATATGGAGCTTCATCTTTGTACTTTTGGCTGAAGTTTAAGCAGCAGTGAAATTTTTTATCAGATATATCTACGTATTATTAGTAAAACCACATTTTCATCGAAAAGTACCAAAAATTCGTCCCGTTTTCTCTGCGAGCGAATAATTACCCTATATACAAGCGCCGTGTAGTTTTAGAAATATAATCCCCCGCGTTCGGTAACGCGCGATGACGACCGGTGTTTACGATTACGATCTACGTTTGACTTCCGTCACGCGCAAGAGAATCTCTCGATCAGGTCAAACATTATCGTCACATCGATAAACTCACGGAAACGCCGCGCGGAATGGAAATCGTACGGAAAACGAATTCAGATGCCGACTGCTAACGACGCACACGCAGTGATCCCCAGCTGAGTCAACCCGACAACCGAACGATAGGCAGTCGAACGAACTACTATCCGGTAACCGGAGTAGTCTAATGTAGAACCCGCTTATGGGACGTTCAAGTACATTGTGCTTCCATCCTTCCGTCACTTCCTCGGACGCGTCAATTGAACGCGAGGAGGGAACCCAGTTACTCGTTGGTTTTCCTTCTCTCTTCGCCCTATACGTCCGCCTCTCCATCACCATTGACTATCGGCTACGTGCGGCTACACTCGGGGTCGGACCCGGCCCGGCCTGTTAAATACCATTTCCTGCATACGCCGTCGCGGAATATATAGTTTCGAGGGAGAACCGGCGCGATGGATGCGAACTCGACCGACCGATCGGTGGAGGTTGGTAGAACGGATTCAGTTTCTACATTGAATTATCGCCCTCGTGCATCGTGCGCAGAGGGGACACTGCACGTCAGGAGGGAACGCGTCGTGAGAGCAAAACAGATTAATCGTTACGTATAGATCGGGGCTGCAGATCGCGATTTATCGATGACACTTTAGGGCATTTTATGGTACGTAGGACTACATTTTGTTGGGCTAGATCGCGATCGTGGGTACGTTACAAATCGCGTTTGTATATGTTGGCTCCGCGCCGCAATACAACAATGAATAATTTGTAAACGTTACTCATAGAATTTATTCGATGAAGATATCAAGAAGATATGAGAAGCTACCGCATCTCACGCCAAATTTACGCGCAGCGAAGTCGCGTAAATGTAAAACGTTGGTGAGACACACAGGATGATTCAACCTTTTATCTTCAAAAATACATAATCCTGACTAAATTCTGAAACAACTTTTCATCTTGCAAAACTTTGTCCGGAAAAAAAACAATTGCTCATAATTTAAAGTAAATTATGTTTTCTTTACATCAATTACATCAATTGATTCATCTCGTCATTCTGTACATACAAATATTAGATAAAAAGATGTATGGTATATAAAAAAAAATGAATAGTTTACGAAATATTTTATATTTTATGTAAAAGTATAATGTCGGGATAAAGTATAAAATATCTCGTGAAATATTTCTTTTTTGAGCGCCTAATCCTAATACTTTTATACACAGAATGTCCAAAAGAATCTGATGTTTATGCAAAAAATCTATTAAAGAAAAAAGTTTAATTGCATTTCCGGTGCATCGTTGCACTTACGAAAAATCAATAGAAAATACACATTATTATTATCATTCAACTTTTGAGTGGACCATTTTTTAAAGATTTGATATCGAAAACTAGCACCAACTTATAATTCAGTAAAATCTAATATGGTTATTGTACCTGTATCTGTATCATTTATATGTACATTCTTATATACTAATATAGTGAGTAATTATTTATTTGAAAAAAAAGTTGCTATAAAAAACTGGCGCTAACATATAGTCGTCAATAAAATGTAATATTATGATTGTATTTGTGTACTATACAATTGCATTATCTAGCCGCGGACTTCATTACAAATTTTAAATTGTTTAAAGCGTTTTTAAGATAAAACTGTCATACTTGGCTCGTATAACTCGGTTCGCATTAATAATTTAAAATTTGTAGTAAAATTCGTGGCCAAATAGTTATAATTCAGTTAGCAATTGTGTAATACACAAGTACAATCATTCGATTATATATTAGCGTCAACTTTTTATATCGAATCTTTTGTACAAATGATGAAACGATCTACTCGTGTAAGAGTAATGTACATATAGATACGAGTATAATAAAATATTAATACATAGTATATATATTTATATATATACATAATATATATATATATATATATATATATATATATATATAGACACAAATAATTATATTAGGTTTTATTGATATTATTAAATTGATACTAAATTGATACTGAATTGATATTGATACCGATTTTACTGAATTATAAGTTGGCTAGTTTCTGATAGCACATTTTTTTGTACAAATGAAATGATTTAGTGTGTTTAGTACAACGATGGCGCGTGTACTTGGCGCCATCTCCTTACTTTAGTTACTTTCAATAACAGAAATTTTTTACGAGCTCTTATTAAAGAACTTTTAAAGATAGTTATACTTTTGATTGATTATACTTGTACTTCTTTTATGGATTATGACATGGACATATATGATAGATGATAATACGGACTTTACTTAAACGTTGCTGGTCTGTGTGGGTCTCGAATGCAGGAATACGAATAAATGATCCATTAACCATCAAGCTCTTAATAGAACAGATATACAATTTATTTACAGTAGTCATATTTTTAAAAGATAACAGTACATGTCGCAGTATACGTGAATGCAAGAGCTTTGACCCATAAAACCTCGAATATTTTAATCGTATTCGCATAGACGGGGTCACAATTTAGAAAAATAAAAATAAATAAAATTTTAAAATATAATGTTTAACGTCAATATATCGATGGTATCAATAAAAATAAGTGCATTTTTGGGCATTAATTTGGACATTAAGTTATGATCATTTTATTTGTCAAATGTTTGAGAAAAGTATTGTAGATATTGTGTCATTTCGATTCTTAAGTCTGTAATATATTTATTTAATACTTTTTATACCGTACAATCGATATAAACAAAATATAATCAGGAAAGAAATTATTGGACAAATAACCTTCTCGAGAGAATATATAGTTTCGTAGTTAAAATGTCATTGGTACCATCGATATATTATGTATATATGTGCACACGACAAAAAAATATGCCGCTGCAATCATCGGATACTATACTATATTAAATAAATAACATTACCTTGGCAGAGTTATATTACAAAACTGAAGACATAGGTACAATATATATATTTTACGCGTATCAACTTACAGTAACATTGTTCTTATCGTGATGTTCTAATCTGACAATTATAGTACATGAAGGATATTAATACGATTTGATTCGTTGAGGTAGATAATTTAATCAGTCTATGAAGCTGCCTTGTCGGTCGGTCAATTGTTTATTGATGAGTTTCCGTTCCGACGTTACATAAAAGAAACAGTCCTATTTGCAACATTGGAAGATCCTCACAGTCTTTCATGTATGACTGAGTTTTACGCTGATTCTGTTCTAAATGACACGGCAAACTGAATCTATATGACGTGATGAACACAAAGATGTGTTTAATAAAGAAAAGGATCTTTTTACAAAAGACAATCAAAGGACAATCGAAATGAAAAGAATTGCATTCGAACAGATATATGAAGTTAGGGAGGGTTCTGCCTTTCGCCCGATTTCTAATTTTGGCGACAAACTCTGCGCAATGAACGTATACGAATTAATTCGTAAAACATACTTACATGATCGGTTATTTTACCTATAAATTATAATAAATTAAGATATTCGTGTAGTCGTACAATTACAATGAAATATACACTTTCTACACGCCAGAACTCTCTTGTTTTCCCCTGTCCGTCAGCGAAAATGCCAATTGAAATTTCCACTCTCTGGGCTTTCTCGTCTTTTCAGCGAAGCGAGTCCTGCAAACGCACCATAAGAGGCATCTCTATGAAATTATGTACATCCATTTTGGTTAAACGCGTTATATTTGGTCAATAACGCGTAACGCGTTTCTATTCAAGCATACTTCGTACGTTAAATTGTTGCCGTTGAATAAAAAAAAAAAAAAATTATATATTTTATATGTTATATGAGCGGAGCTAATAATTCATCGATTTGATCAACTGGCAGTCTCCGGTTTAAATCAATAATATGCAAAGATATACAACGCGAAGATATATGCAAAATTGTTATCAAATTAAAAAAATATATTTTAAGCTTGATTTGGTATGTCATCATGTTGCATAATTACATATCTTTGTATAACTATAATTATATAATTTATTATTAAATACTATATATAATAATACAATATTATTATATATAATATTATAATATTATATAATTATATAATTATGCATCTTATTTTATATAAAATTATCTAAATTCACGTTATTAGTATTATAGAGTTGTTTGTACTACGCGAACATTAAAAATTTACTTTGTTAGAAGTATTGATTATTTTATAGAAGTATAGAGATATCTATACTTTCAATATTTTAATAGATTTGTATTACTTATAATTTCTACCAGCAATATATCTTCTCTAATTTAAGTACTGTAACATTAGTACCGGTGGATACAACTGATACGAACCGTTTCACATTACTTGAAACGTAATATTTGAAATTGTACGTAAATATTGAGCTCTGACTCTAGGACGTGCCAACGGAGAGATTGCTAAAACAAGCAGGAGAACTCTGCATAAACGTTACGACAGAAAATGTCTTGCTAGTTCGCGCGTTGTGTCAGAAGATTCAGCAATTCATTGTGATCCATACTATTCAATGTATGTATATCGATGCCGAGGGCATTCGCGACACTTTTCATGTCTAGACCAAAGCTCTTGAGCAGTTCAATGAAGTCCATTTCCTCGCCCGTAAAGGGATTATGCAGTTTGGGGCAGCTATGGTTACATTGCGGCCAAGTGCAGCGCTCTATCATACGGAAATGGCAGTTCTTGACGCACTTCCGTTTGAACGACGGTATCACCGATCGCTGCGGCCTGATGCCGTTAAATATGGCCGTATGGTTGTTGCCGTTAACTTGTTTGCCGCCCTTGCGACGACCTGAAAAAAAAAAAAAAATGCATAAACTTCGAATAATCGTCGTCAATACAAACCACGTGAAAAGATCAATTATTTTTTAAAATTTATTAATAAATGTTAAAAATTAAATATTATCGCGAAATCAAATGTAGCGCTAAAAGAGTTTTCGGTCAATCTATTCTTATAAAAATTATATGAAGCAGCTTGGAACTATTCAAAGAATGTCGACTGTTATTGAGCAAGGTTCAAAACATGTTTGCGCATTGCTAAACCGTACCGGCGTTCTTTCTCCGCTGGTGTTTCTCTTTTTTCATTCTCTCCTCTTTACTTCTCTCTCTCTCCTTTCTGTCTCTCCTTCTGCTTTTATGTTTCCTCTTTCGCCTCTTCTTATTCTCCTGCTCTTGAATCGAACCGGAGACCGGCTTTCTTTCCTGCATTTTGCCAACGGCGGACAATCGTGCTTTTTGCATTTCCGTAGAGGAGCCAACTCTGCTTTTTCCGTCCTCGATCGCGGTACCATTTCCCTTTCTGATACCAGAACGCAGTAGCTTTTTTAGCGACTTTCCGCACGGTTGATTGGTCTCGATTTGCGAGTGAGTACTGTAGCAGAACGAAAAACATTATCTCCTCGAGGCCTCGAAGCGTCATTGATCTCGAGCGTCATTGATTTATTTACCGGGATGAATCCGACTCTACACTCTGACAAATATTTTCTCGGCAAACAACGCGGTGCAACGACGAATATATTTTCAATCGGCGGGGTTCATGCAACAACAAATATCAATTCGGCTACTTACTTGTTGTGTTCGTTGCTACGATAATTCCCGACCGGCATTTGATCCCAACAGAACAATGCCTGGGCGAAGGAAACCTCGTCTATTTTAATCATCTTCCAATCCCTTTTCGTCAGGACGCTGTGACTAATGCAACTCGGGGCAAAGACCGCGGTAACATTTTCAAACGTCTGCCGAAGACTGTCGCCCATTTTATGTATGTAGTCCCATTGCTGTCTCGTTACTGGCGCGGCGACGTTGTAGGCTTTCATTTGTGCCTCGTCGAATATCCATTGGAAGACGAACAACGGTGCTGAGATGTTAAATAAAAGAGTTTAAACTTTCTTCGAAACATAGCAATTTTAGATACTAACTGAAATTTTCGTGATACGAGATGAACTCACCGGACAAAGTTGGATAAAGTCGATATCCAAAGAAGCACTTCCACGGCTCGTTAGGATATCTAACTTCGCAATTACGTGGCATCCGAGAGTTCCATAATTCCATTCCTTTTTGTATCGCATCGACCGGCGACAGGCCGTTCGGAGAGTAAGGCGCTCTATCGAGGAACCATCCGGAATCCGACACACCACGTATAGCAACGTGTCTCAAGCCTGCGCGAATAGATAAGTCTTATATTTCATAACCGAACTATATACTGTCGGTGACTAAAGAATACTAAAATGCTTATGCAGTAAGATATATTGCATGCTGAAAGAATAAAATAAATTGAGAAACTCAAATATAGAACAGGAATATTAATCTGTTTTAAATATTTTACAATATTTTATAAACGATTCTGTTTCATACAATTTTAAAACAGAAATTATATATACTATATATAACATTATGAAAAATCTATATTTAAAAACTCATATAGGTATTAAAAAGAATGGCATATGAGAAAGCTTGGTCTTGTGTCAGTGTTAATGAGAGATATTATTGAGGAGACTAATTAAAATGTGATTCTACGCTTGAACAGCTGTATTAACGATAAATATAAATAATTGATAATAACTATATCATTATCGATGCTGATTCGCCTGACATAATTGGATTGTCAAATGAGAAACGTATATTACCATGAAAATTGCGGCAATTATCAATAATGACGACGGGAATTGTTTAATTGGGGCGCAATAATTGGGGGCGATAATTGATAAATCGTGCGACGTACCCAATTCATGATGTATCAGATTGTGAACGCGATTCAAATTCAGCATAACGCCGGTGCCGCCCGCGCTGCTACCGGCTAAAAGAAAGGCGCTCGCGTTTTCGAGGCCAAGGGGAACCAAGTCCCGGATGATCTGGACCACGATCTCTGCCCCCATGAAGGAAAACATGTCGTTCGGCGACCTGAAGGCCCTAGTGCCGCTCCAGCTGTCGCTCGTGCAATAAGGAACGAAACTGTGGGACGACAACAACGGCGTATCGTTACGTAAAGACCGGTGCATTAGCGACGCGCGAGGTCGACCGTACGACAGATAGACAATACCTACACGTGATTCGTACCCCAAAAGAATGGATTCTCGTCGGGATTCGGCGAGAGCATCCCGCCCACTGAAAAAAAAATCGGAAATATTTTTATTTCGACAATCAGTGGCAATATCAAGCAACGTGCATATATGCTGGTCGAGGATCACCTGTTGCCTTGCAGCTACAGATATTGGAGAACAAATTTAAAAAGGCAATTGGTAATTACTGCATGTTAAAACTTGCAGAATTTTGACGAAATTGGATCTTTGCAATTATGAATAAAAGCCACAATTTTTCGATTAATAATTGAATCTTTCCTGACCGAGATTAATTTTCTGAATTATCAAGAAATATTTAATGATGATAAAATTAATAACAGATTATTAATTAACAAATTAAATTATATAATAGAAGCAATATCCAATAATGATTGGATATATGCTTTGTATATAAATTCGTACATTAATATCGCGATATAAAGGTTCAGAAAGTCTTCTCTGATACGCATAAATGAGTTGGGTGAAAAAAAGTGATTTATATCGTCGTTGCGCGGCGCAATAAATACCATTCGTGCATAATAAAGCTCATATGTGTTGATCCGCATCGCATAACATGTATTATTTAAAACGATGCGAGGAGCAATGCGAGCGTTCAAAAGCGCGCGCGCGTCCACGGAAGATCACCACGAAATTAATTTATGACGCGGCGCGAGAGTTTCGGCGCTTGGATGCACGAGCGGAAAATCGTTTTCGTTCCGCGCGACGTATAATTATAAACGATCGGGAGGACCCACCGTCGCGTGTCTCGGGCCACTGGGTTGACGTCATCAGATGCCGCATCCGCATCCACCTGGTCCTACAGCTCTTTTGGTCGTAGCAGTACCAGCCGCCCTCCAGGTACATGATCCACCGCCTGGAACCGTGGGACTTTCGTAGGTAGAAACCGGCCTGCGATCCATCGTTGCAGGTGATCGATCTGTTGCTTAGATACACCCTCTTCAGGGCCCGCTGGTCGTCCAGACCGTATTTCCCCAAGTAGCTCATCACCTTCCTTATCGTGTTGCTCTGATACTCCTCCGGCGAGCCCAAGGAGACCGAGGAAACGGAGACCGTATTTGTTGGCTTGTCCTCGGCGATTATTGTCAGGATCAACGCCGCCAAGTACGGCATAATCTGAAATACGCGAAATGAAACCTTGATAACTCGAATCTCGACACATCACGTTTGTCTATCGTATAATATATTCTATCAAAAATTTCAATTGGCTAAATTCCTTATTGCAAAATAAATCTTACAGATATTTTATAAATATTTTAATTTCAATATAATAGATATATCAAACGTTACAATGTTCTGATAATTAATGTCTTCAAATTCGACTTTCGAGCGTGCACTCTTCCTCGCTTCTTTTTTTTATGGTTTTTATGAACATATCGGCGATCAGGCCAACACATTACACGGCCACCATGTAACAAATGAGCAAGTGATGAGGGAATAATTTAAAAAACGACGATAACGGAGAGGACGACGAGCTACATGGCGCCACTCTCTCCTTCTCTATCTCGCATCCGGCTACCATATCCATCGGTGGCTCGTTTTACCGCAACAACGTCCCTCGGCCTCCTGCCCCTCTTTCACGAAAACGACTACTTAGGATCAAGTTCCAGCATCCAGGACGGTAGCCGGCGGCGGAAACACCTCGGAAACAGAAGCTCGGTCTCGATCTCGGTCTGAGATGAAAGCCTTGCCGCCAACACTTGCGGCTGGTAGGAAGGAGAAACATTGTTGCGACGCAATTATGATCGGGCATAATGGGCCGCAAACGGCGGATTGGGTTCCGCTCCGTACGGAGCAATGGGTACAAAAAGAAGAGGAGGCCTCACCTCTCTCGCCTTTCCTTTCGCATTGCGTCGTAGCCGTGAAAGAAACGCACTGCGCGATGTCATGATTCAGCCGCAATCACCGATTGTTGGCCGTGGGGCTTTCTCGTAGTTTACGCGAAACGCGGATGTGCCTAATTCATGATTGCATACCGTAGTTCTTGATATTGCCGTAGTGTGTACATCGCATTTTTCGATGAAAATTAAAGAATTTCTTACATTCGTAACCTTGAAAAACTGAATGAAATTCCTTTATCCATAAACGCTTTAATTAGATTAAAATTTAAATTAATTAGTTTAAAATTTTTAAGATTTTTAATTGATTTAATTGGATTTTAAGTAATCAAGCAACAGAAAGCTTACTCGAGCAGATTAAGCTTTAAAGATACATAAATAAAGATAATAAATATATTTTTATTTTGTTTAATTTAAATTAAATTTTAACAAAATTTTTAAATTGTAATTCAATTACAAAAAGTGTTAAGAAATTACGATGGCATATCACGAAGTAACAGACTAATATCACGAAGCTAATTTTTTTTTAATGTCAAATGAGATCATTTCTTTTCTACTTTTTATGATTATTTTTTAGATAGTTCTAACGTTAGATAGATTTATTTGTTTTTTCATATAACCCAAATTATTTTTACAGAAAGACAATTATCTGTTCGTCATGTAACTTCTTAGACAGGTCAACGAAAAACTTCTCTAAATTATAGCCTAGATTTTCATCAATCCATAGAAAATCGCTGGAGAAGTTTAGCTCAGTTTCGAAATATCAGCGTGACGCGACAATCCGGGTTTCTTAAAAAATTAAGGACGACCAAGCGGAAAACGTTTCATGGTTCGCCGACGTTAAGTACCTGGGGTATGCACCAACCCCTCTATTACCGTAAAACTTAAAGCTGACCGAAAGTGGCATGTCTCCCTCTCGTCGAGTGCCTTTCGCGTAACCACAAATTATCGGGAAAGCGTAGCGACGGACTTGCAGCGATTTCGAGAATCCGCATCGAATCGAAACTTTCGGGGAGGTCATAAATAAAGTAGACGACTCGAACGGGGGTGCTTCCACTCTGCGCTTAACCGCTTTATTATGCCGTAAATCAATTCGTTGGGGTGTCGGGCCTGGCTGGCGGAGGGGTAGTTTTATGTTATGCTCTGAGCGCGGCTATTCAAGAGCTATTGAAAAAGAGAAGGCTGTAAAACCGCTTTTGAACAAAGTTCGGCAACGATATCATAACGCAAACGTTTTTACTTTTTAATATGTATCATTTATATCGATCTTTTTAATTTATGCGTCCTTTTTGATAATTCACATTTTTCAATTGGAAATAAGATTGAATGACAAACTATTGATAAATTGATTATTTTTTTATTTATAATTTTAGTACTCTCTTTTATAAATATAAGTAGATAAATAACAACATAGATAAATAAATAAAAATTTATAAAACATACTGCTGTACATTTTGAAGAATAGAGCCATTGCAAAAATAGTGGAAATTTCCTCTTTGATTTTTATTATTTATTAAATTTGATATCATATGTATAAAATACTCTGATACATTGTCAGAAATGTACATATAAAATGCACGATAAGTAGAATATTAAACGACATCGTCAAACTGCAATTAAAAAGCATATACATATCACAATAATTTATAGGTTACAAATTAAATTTTATTTTATATTTCAAGTTAAAGTCCCTTGCACAATAGGCAATAACTATAGCGATAGCGACAGCGACAAAGTTACAGCTTTGTCGGCAACTTTGTCGCTGTCGCTATCGCTATCACTATCGCCTAATATTGTGCAAGGGGCTTAACATATTATTTCTCCAAAATATTCGCATGCGTTCAATTGTTATCATCTATTCGAATCGTGTTAATTATGGTAGATTGATTTTTGAACGGTAAAAAATTTTCATTGACTTTGTCGCTCATTTAATTACTGTTTACAATTATATTTTTCTTTTAAATCCAATACAATGCAATAAAAAACGAGCTAAATATCATATAGCATCTATTAAAATTTCAATCTCTATAGAAATACTTTTGCGTAATCTCAAGCTTTCTCTCTTAAAAAAACATGTACTCAAGGTATATTAAGAACTCTCTATCTCTCTCCCTCTGTTACTCTTTCTTTCTCTTTCTTTTTGCCGACTCCGTAGCCGGCGCATTAGAAGGTGTCCTGGGCGTGAAGGTGTCCGTCATAATTTGCCACCCGGCACATAATCCCCGTGACAAAGGCCGACAAAGTGACGGCTGTTACTTGGACCGGCGCGGCGGCGCACCGTATACTAGCTGCAGGGAATCCGGTAGCAGGTAAAACGTTTAAAGATACCGTGCACCGCAGTCAAAGAGATGAATCACGCCGTAGATAAATGGCCGCGATCTGAACGGCTTTTTACGGCGAGGCGAGGCGAGGCGCGGCGCGGCGCACTCATGCGAGCTCCGGGTATTCGCGCATCCATCGATATTTTATTATCGTTAGTGCACGTGATAAAGAGAAAGAGAGAAACATTCGTCGTTCTCCTCGACGAAGACATTTTCTCTTTCGTGATTTTTATCGGGGAGTTTATTTAGGATGCCTTAATATTTTAAAATGTATCTTTTTCTCCAATACTTCTCATCACATAGGAATATAAGTATTTATATACCTTAACCCTTGATTTTGAATAAATTTTTCGAAGAATTATTATGGGATCTTATCGATAGGAAAGTATACTGTATTAAGCATTGGATCTTATTGTAGATTGTGTAATTGATAGTAGATACAGTTGAAAAAATAATTTATTGAAAAATAATTATCTCTTTAAACGATATGTATTAGTTTTTTACGTTTAATCTTCTTCGTCGTTGAATGAAAAAGTCATCGTATTTTTATTTAAATCTTCCTCTATCATGGTACATGTATTACAATTTTATCAAATGAAAGAGTCATACAAAAGTGGATTTAATTATCAGCGGAGAATAAAAAATATTTCCTATTGGAATTACTTTCAAGTTCGGTTCTTGCAATACTATAACAATACTCGGTTAGGCGGCTCGATATCGATGCGATTCATTTCATTCCATCCCAAATGAATAAAAGTTCTCCTTGAAATTTATACATGTGTGCATGCGTGTGTGCGCGCGCGCATATGTATTTTTTGAATTTTTGCACGGTTTAATGTGTACATGTTTTTCTTTTAAATTTCAATAAAAAATAAAATGATGTAGATTATTTGATTTTTCGTATTATTTTTGATTTTGATATATTCCTATCATGCAGGATTATAAAAAATGTTTCGTATAAACAGAATATTCAATTTTCAATGATACTACTAATGCATATAATTACATACAATTGTAGAATATTATTCCGCTTAAATTTAAAGAATTAACTTTGTACAATATATTCTGCAAATATCATTCTCTATTTAATAATGTTTAATGTAACACGAAATAACTGAAATATGAATTCCTTTCTACTGATTTAAGATATATAAAGGCCATCGATCCCTTTTCGATCACTTTTTACATAGGTAAATGATCTCGAACTTTAGCATCAGAGCAGAAATGACGTTGAACGGCAATGTCCTGCTTTACGAGTCCGTCCTTCACAAAAGAAGCATTCGCTTCCGCGAGATTAAGGAGCTGGCTGATCCGCCTCCCCCGTCGCGAATTCATTTGTTCCACACCTGATTCCCTCTCGAGGTTGACTGACTCTCGTGGTTGGTGATGCGTGGCATTCCGTCGATGCGGCGTGTGCGAATGCACACGCATGGAATGAAGAAAGAAAGAGAGAGATATAGAGAAAGAGAGGCGCAATTTATTCATACTTTGGGACATGGATTCCCTGAGAGCATATAGAAAACCATATATAACTTTAAAAATATATAATGCATACATAATGCGTTGATAGATGTATTTAAATGTAGCACTGAAAATAAGATGAATATTTTGAGTATGTAGTACTTAATGATGAAATAATAATGGAGACAAGTAGGATTATACGCAAATACATTAATTGCCCGTGCATGTGTACGCGTGATTAAATCGAACTTTTCTACAAATCTCAATCGATTAATATGTGGAATTATATGTGCGTAATATGATAATTTTAAATCTATATAAAATTGTATATATTATATATAAATCATACTATAACATATATGTCGATATACAATGTGTGCAATTTATATAGATGCTTCTCTATATAGACATACATATTTTTTTTGCAACTTATGAAACATAATAAATTTCGTTTTTAATACTTTATTCAATCGGGAAATGTAATTAAAATCCCAGA